TCGCCTATCGACGGAAGTCGTCGGTCCATGCCCCTAACGGGGCTCTCGAGATTTCCATTTTGTCGTCTTCACTCTCTGCCCAGTGCGTGCATCACATTCTTCAGCGTATCATCGCATCTCGATATCCCGCTTCTGTTATCATTGCCACAGATTTTCTACCCCCCCCCCCTTTCGGTTGTGTGAATATTTAACGAAATAATTTTGCTGGAAATAGTGAAATTTGTTTCCTTCGCAACAATAAGTTTTGTGTCTGCAGTAGTGAACATCGATCCTGTTCGGATATTATGTACTAGAGTACGCAACATGCAGTTGTGTGGAGTAAACCTTTCCATTGTCGTCAATTTGAACGTTGAACCTATTATTCTGGAAGAGTCTGTTCCGTGACTGCTTCGTGGTCTTCTCCAGCAGTAATTGGCTCGTTTTCTTTTCCCTGTTATGGAGTTTATAAGCAGTAGATGTGTTTCTTCCATCAGCGTGATTCACCCGCAAATGGGTCATGGGATTTATCCGTCTGATTTAAGCGGTGGCTGTGTGGATTTGCAAGCGAGACCCGGGAATTCGCGTAGGGACATTCTGGCGTGGAGCCAAACTTCTCAGCTGTACAGTACGTCGAAAATCAGCTGAGATCCACGTACGTAATCCACAGTTAAGGTTTTGTTGAATTACTTCCGACTAGTGGAACTTTCCAACGCTGTGAGACAGAGCTACGAGTATTTTGAATGTTTTGTGTGCCTTTCAACGCTTCGAGATCTTTGACCAGTGTTTCTCAAGCTTTTTCACAAAGTAGTGCACAAAAATGTAGTTCTTTGTCTCACGGAACAATAAAGTCGCTTCTTATTGTAAATTATGTGATCTGAAAGTAATTTCCCACAATTCTTTACTTGTTTGCAATGTGAAAAGTTAAACTAACCTAACTCCATGCGACGGAATACTTCTTGAGAAGCGGATGGTCGCTCAGCTGATCAAAACGTTCACAGTCTTTTATGGCACTAGAAAGTTCATTGCTGTGTTGACAAGAGCCCGCAACTGCGTCCCATCCTTAGATTCGTCAAGATCCATTTCAGTATTGTCTTCCCATCCACACCTAGGTCAGCGAAGTGGCCTTTGGACCTTCGTCTTACTCGACTGAGTTCTGTGCACTGTCCTCACCCGTGCCAGCCTCATTTTTTGATGGCTTCAGTAGGTTATTTGGCGATGACGGAGGCAGTATGACCTCTGAAACGTTGGTTAGCATCGACCAGACTACACAGCGCAATAACCCAGAAGACAGAAATCTTCATACTCTGCTGATGGAGGCAGTATGACCTCCGAAACGTTGGTTAGCATCGACCAGACTACACAGCGCAATAACCCAGAAGACAGAAATCTTCATACTCTGCTGATGGAGGCAGTATGACCTCCGAAACGTTGGTTAGCATCGACCAGACTACACAGCGCAATAACCCAGAAGACAGAAATCTTCATACTCTGCTGATGGAGGCAGTATGACCTCCGAAACGTTGGTTAGCATCGACCAGACTACACAGCGCAATAACCCAGAAGACAGAAATCTTCATACTCTGCTGATGGAGGCAGTATGACCTCCGAAACGTTGGTTAGCATCGACCAGACTACACAGCGCAATAACCCAGAAGACAGAAATCTTCATACTCTGCTGATGGAGGCAGTATGACCTCCGAAACGTTGGTTAGCATCGACCAGACTACACAGCGCAATAACCCAGAAGACAGAAATCTTCATACTCTGCTGATGGAGGCAGTATGACCTCCGAAACGTTGGTTAGCATCGACCAGACTACACAGCGCAATAACCCAGAAGACAGAAATCTTCATACTCTGCTGATGGAGGCAGTATGACCTCCGAAACGTTGGTTAGCATCGACCAGACTACACAGCGCAATAACCCAGAAGACAGAAATCTTCATACTCTGCTGATGGAGGCAGTATGACCTCCGAAACGTTGGTTAGCATCGACCAGACTACACAGCGCAATAACCCAGAAGACAGAAATCTTCATACTCTGCTGATGGAGGCAGTATGACCTCCGAAACGTTGGTTAGCATCGACCAGACTACACAGCGCAATAACCCAGAAGACAGAAATCTTCATACTCTGCTGATGGAGGCAGTATGACCTCCGAAACGTTGGTTAGCATCGACCAGACTACACAGCGCAATAACCCAGAAGACAGAAATCTTCATACTCTGCTGATGGAGGCAGTATGACCTCCGAAACGTTGGTTAGCATCGACCAGACTACACAGCGCAATAACCCAGAAGACAGAAATCTTCATACTCTGCTGATGGAGGCAGTATGACCTCCGAAACGTTGGTTAGCATCGACCAGACTACACAGCGCAATAACCCAGAAGACAGAAATCTTCATACTCTGCTGATGGAGGCAGTATGACCTCCGAAACGTTGGTTAGCATCGACCAGACTACACAGCGCAATAACCCAGAAGACAGAAATCTTCATACTCTGCTGATGGAGGCAGTATGACCTCCGAAACGTTGGTTAGCATCGACCAGACTACACAGCGCAATAACCCAGAAGACAGAAATCTTCATACTCATCGCCGTGAAAACCTGAAATCTTACAGATTCATGAATGTTATTGCTTTGAATGCTATAAAGCACCTCCAAGGTCTGCTTGGTCTGTTTTTGTATGCACAAATTGTGTTTTCTTCCATTCCTCTATGCAGAAGTCATCTTGCCTTATTCATATAAACGCTTGTTTTATGAGCATTGGCACTCTCAGTTTTGCTTTTGTTGCATTTTTCTTATTTCTGAATGTAAATACCTTTTTTTGGGCAATGCGTATTACTTGTGTGTGTACTCACCGACTTTCACAGTAGTTGGCTGGTTTTTGCGCAAATTTGAAAGGGGTGTTTTTGTCGGAGGTCATGGTAACCATGTTTTTGAAATTCCTGTTTTAAACCAAAAAGTTAGTGGCTTGTGCAGAGCAGTTAAGAAATCTGACTCACGTTTGGGATTGAGTTTGAATAACCCCCTGGGACCAGATATCTTGACTGAAGATTTTCCTCAGTTGCTGCGTGTTTTAAAATATGTCGCAGTTTGTCCTCCCACACCCATTCATTTTGGTCCATCATCTTCTCCGTTGTCGCTCGACTCGCCGCACTTGAATATAGGATCATGAAATTGAGTGACTAGTCTTGTTAGATGTGATGTGGTAGCAGATTATAGGCAGATATACATTTTTTTCAATACTTCCATGTGAGTGCATTGAGAATGTAGTTCCGTTCTTCTACTTGCAGTTACACGACGACTGTCCGTGTCTCAGAACAGAAGCCGTACCAAGTGCGTGATTACACCTGGTGTTTCAACTTCCCACCACGCTGTTCAAAGTACAAGATAAATTTCAAGACTGTGTACAAAACAGTGGTAAGATTTCAATGGAGAAATTTCCTGCTTTGAGGATGAAGGTCCACGCTGCTAGCGCCTGCTCATTCTTAACCTTGGCACTAGATAGGGTTGAGTGGTTAGCGTCATTCTCTGGCTACGCTTTACCCCCGGGAAGGGGCCCCGGTACCCGTCGGACATGAGAGAATCCTCTGCACTTTTTAGGGATCGAACCCTGTCGTCCAGTCCATAGTCGGTCACTGTACTGACTGAGCTACCCCGGCTCCCTGCCAAAACCTACCACTGAACATTTTTGTAAACCATTTTGACAACCTATTTTTTTTTGAGAGTCGTGTTATCCTTTCATCTCCTTCTTAGATTCTCCAACAAAATTTTGTTCGTATGACAGTAAAAATGTGGGTCGTGGTCTTTTGGGTTATAACACTGTTACTCAGAAGACAACAATCCGTAGGTATTGTTTTGTATAACCTTCTGAGTTTCTCTTCTGGGTATACGTCAGGAGTGCAAGGTATTTAAGTCGACATATAAAAAATTAGGTTATCCGTGGAATCGTACACAGAAGAAGTAACTTATACGTGTGTGAAATCAGTCATATTTTAAGTTGTCCCATAGTGCATTCTTTGTCAGAGGACATTCAACATCGTTTTGGAATACAGAATGCAGCTTCAGCATTAAAATTTTATGATTTACCACACTTCCCCTTCACCTCGTTTTTTTCATCTTAAAGTATACGCCAGAGTGGCCTCCGGTTTGTGATAGATATTCTGTGTGTGTATGGATCATTCCGAGGTAGTTAGAAATAATGCAGACGTGGGAAATTGATGACTAAGAAGATCTGTTAGCTTCATTTCTCCCGTTTCTTATATTTCATGAGCGTGGGTTTGGTTGTCGGCTTCTTGTTCGGTGAGGCGTTCATGAAGTGTGGTGTGTGTTATTAGTCCCTAGCCAAGACACGGCCTGTGGAAGACTGCTGTAAGGGCTACGCCAAGAGCAACGCTGCAGATCGCTGCATCCCCGTGTGTTCAGAGAATTGCCTGCATGGCACCTGCATCGCACCCGATACATGCAAATGCGAAACAGGATATGGTGGCCCCACCTGCAGCATTTGTAAGTAATGCTCCTTCTTGTTAGATTGTCATCCAAAGGGACAAACATATTACCTCATGAGAATCTAACGTTGTGAAGCAAAGTTGCGATTGAGACACTAGTCAAAAAATTACCCTCTTTTTCTGGAACACAAAGGTTCATGACCAAGTTTGCGAGGACCCACATGTGATCCATTTATTTTTTATACTTAGACAACTATGCCAACTGATGCATTTGTTGTCTTCTCGTTTGAAATGGGAAATTGCCGTTGCATTTCTCTATTCATCTGGGATATTTTCAGTGACATACTCATTCAGAAATGTTGACAGTTTTAATTGAATTCCCTATGGTGGTATTTAAAAAGTTCAGAATTTAAATGGAATTTAAGAAATTGCTGCCATTTATGTTGCTGCGACATTTTGCACCTTCATTGACATTTGTATTCAAACATTTTAAAACTTCTGATGTGTTTGGTCTGCATTCATGCATCTTTATTACATTCCATGGATCCATAAGTTAGTCAGATGACGATAGGATGTGGAATAACACTTAATAATACAATACATATTTTCGTACTATTATAGAGGTTTCACATGTTATATAAGCAAAGGCTTTATGTAATGTTTCACGTTGTATAAATTGTGTTCTTAATTTTGTTACAATTTTTTTTGCTCTTATCCTTTTATAGTTTATTAGAACTGGGCCATTTTTAAAAGTACTTTTTTTATCTTCTACTCGTTTGATTTGGTCGTCCCATCTTTTTAAATATTTTCTGTATCATCATTTTTGAATCTCTCTGAAACTTTTGTTAACTGCATTCTATACATTATTCTCAAGACCTTCGATTATTTAGTCGTCTTAAGGAAAACCACGCTTTAGCGCACATCAGATAGTGGACTGTTTTTATTTTAGCTTGCAATTTTTTCATTTGCTGTGATTAAACACTTTTTTCTTTAGTTTTACCAAAAACTGAAAATTAGTTATCTGATTTATTATTGGTATTTCACTTATTTTTACTTGCGTGAATGCTGAAAGAGGAGGATAAGGGAAAGTGATTGGAGGTTCCCGACAATTTTACATTTTACTCTATTCACAGCGTGTCCTGACGATCGGTGGGGTCCAGACTGCGGCAGCAAGTGTCAGTGTCAGAACGGGGCGTCTTGCGACCCATACAGTGGAGAGTGTAGGTGTACTAGGGGCTGGCGAGGCCAGTTCTGTAGTGAGACGTGTCCACCCACGCAGTACGGACAGGACTGTGCTGAGCAGTGTCGTTGCAAGAATGGTGGCTCCTGCCACCACATATCTGGAGAGTGCGTGTGCACGCCGGGCTGGACGGGACCTTTGTAAGTGTTGTTCAGAAATGTTGGTGAGAATCGTGGTAATTTCTTAGTTGTTATGTGTGCATCTAATTTAAGTGTCTGTAGTGTATCTGGGACTTTGTCTTGGGTAAGCGTTTCGACAAATAAGTTAATGAAAATAATCTTATGTTGCTGAAACCCACAAATAAATTGTGTTATTTGCAGAAATGTTTGTCCCTACATTGAAGAAATTTAATTTTCAAGTTTTATTGTCATGAAAATGTTTTTTAAATGCTTCCCCAGCAATTTCATGTTAATTTGAATCTGTGAACCTTCCGTCCAATCTTGTGCCTGCTTAATGTATTAATTTGTGATTTTCAGTTTTTAAATCTTTTGCGGAGCTTGTTAAATGTCTTGCGATAGTCATTTTCACTCCACTTTCCTTTCTTCAAAATGGCTAACAACTTGCCAGAGTAATAAGTTCATTGAACATGAGATGTAAAATATTTAATAATTAATAACAGGATCCAAGCTGGAAACAGGCAATATTATGCACATATAGAACTGTTTCAATCTAAAATTCTCTCCAGGATCACAAAGTTAAGACTGTACAGGACACTCATTAGACCGGTAATAACTCGTGGGGCAGAATCTTGGAAACTTGCATCTGAAGTAGAAAGCAAGTTAATGTGCTTTGAAAGGAAAATTCTATGGAAAATCTTTGGCCCCGTAAAGAATAATGATGGATCGTATAGGATTAGATATAATGCGGAGTTAGAAGAATTGATCCGTCACGAGCACATTGTGAGATATAATAAATCACAACGGTTGAGATGTGGTCAGAATGGGAGAGGATAGACTGCCACATTTGGTATTAAAGCAGAAATGGTGGAGAACAAGACCTAAAGGAAGACCAAGGGGAGGGTGGATTGATGCGATAGAGGAAGATATGAGAGAGATGAAAGTGTGCAACTGGAAGAAGGTAGCTCAAGATTGGGACATATTGTTCGGGATGCCAGAGCAAGAGAAGAAGAAGAAGACCAAATTAATAAATGCATGGCTTAACAAAAATATCAGTCACATTATTACTAGAATAACAGAATGTCTTCAAATAATGTAAGTTCCTGCATACACAATATATTTATGAAGAGAACTTAATTTAGAAACTTCACGTGGCATTTGTAGGAAATCCATTCAGCGACTCTCACGTTGTTACACGGAGATGGAGAGGCAGACGCGGTGAAGCTAATTGGCACATTTTTGCGATGCTCATCGTACCTTTTGCTTTAATCAGTTGGGGTTTCACAGTTGATTAATTCTGTTCCGCAGATGTGAGGATCGATGTCCTGAGGGAAAGCACGGGGAAGAGTGCTTGTCAGAATGTCGCTGCCAAAATGGAGGAACCTGTAACCCTGCATCGGGCAAATGCTACTGTACTCCAGGCTGGAGTGTGAGTTACAGACTTGAACATTATCATTAAACATCTTCCAGTGATAATACTGTTTTAACTGAAAATTGATCTTTCAGAAATATCTTTTTCTAATGGCTCAAATTTGACCTGGAATTTCTATTAATGCATATAAACAATTTGTCTTCTTGACGTACTTTTCCCCTACACGGCCATGTTCTGGGTTTTGATGCTGTGTAAGCTTTTGTGTGTTTACCAATGTTTTTGGAGGAAAATGGTCAATCTGACCAATTGCAGTTAACCAATCATTCCACATGCAGCACGTTGGCAGTAACGACCTACCGTGATTTGTTGCTCTCTCTCACTCTCTCTGCCTGTTAATGAATGTAAAATTTAAAAAATCTAAATCCCTAACTAAAGCACTAACCTAAAATAATTTGCTTGGATGGTAATGTTTCAAAATTCTTAATGGTCTTTTAAGGGTGAAAGATATGAAGATACAACTCGTATTCTGCACATTTACGTTTCGTTATATTCCATTAGTGGTTTTGTTAGGGTTTTAGTATGGCGTGGTTTTAGTGCTCAGCAAAATTGGGCTCTATGAACATTGTGACATGACACAAAACTGCCCTCTGATTGGTCAGATGGGCCTCGTTGTGGTTTGTGTTACGGAGATGTGAAATTTGTGTCTTGGATACAGTCGTATTTTAAAGCAGTCAGAAAACGGCAAGATTGTTGACGGCAACAGAAAACACAAAAAATTCATAATATTGTTGAAACACAGTACATTCAACTGTGCTTAAAAAATATCTTAAATATGTTTTTTGTGTATTGAATATACTGTCATTTTAAGAATGAATAATTTTGAATAAAAGCTGCGTGTTGTACGCAAGTAAAATACATGTGTGCACACGTGATGAAATGTTTACCAAAACTAGTCGGAGAGAACACCACGTGTCCTCAGACGCAAGACCTGCATGACACAAAGGAGGAGAGACGGTAATCACTGCATCAGAGTGCGTAATTTTGTCGCAGGGCATCGTGTGTGCTAACCGGTGTCCAGCTGGAACTTGGGGTGAGGGCTGTAACCTGATATGCGACTGCTACAATGGGGCATCATGTCATCACATCACAGGACAGTGTGAGTGTCAGCCAGGCTTTCAGGGAGACAGGGTGAGTACGCATTGCCATGTGGTGATCCAGTCGTTGACGAACGTTAAGTTGATCACTGCAACATTTCAGTCTAAGGAGTGTAGGTTATACACAGTATCTTTGCTGACTCGTATGTGTTTAATATTCAGTAATATAATGAATAATAAATGAAGGGAAGAAAGATGGTTATTATGTAGCAAAGAAGTTTGTGGTTAATACACCTCACCCAGTGCTGTAATTGTAGTTGAGCGTGAATGTTAATAAGGAGACATTAGCAGCAGTGACAGCAGTGGTGATGCTCGTAGCAGCAGTAATGTTGTTGTCGTCGTCATAATTTACTGGCAAAAACCATTCCCAAGTATTCTTTCTTTCTATGGCACAACAGCGCAAACTGAGCCTTGGTCTCCCCCATGTGGGAGGTTTCTTTGTCTACCTAAGTATAGTAAATGATAATTGACCTCAGTTACTGGAGCCTTCATATAATGCAAAGTGATTCTAACCATTCTTTTTCCTTTTCACTACAAGTCATGCCTCATTGTAAAATCTAAAAGCCTTCTTTAAAAAATTTTTGTCAAGAACTTTGCTAGAGCTTAAAAGGATATGATTCCATTCTTTCCCCTTTTACATGTTATTTCCTCAAAATTATGTTGTATAATATGCAAATTATTTTTTAAATTAGTTTCCTGCTTACCTACGGTGACTTAATTTTGATGATTTGGAATATACCAGGTGATTCAAAAAGGACTTTACAACTTTGAAAGTGTATAGAAATTTATTCAGAAGGCTTACAGAATCGGTTGAAGTGTCATTTTGTAGCAAAACAAATCAAGTTTGACTCACGTTGTGCTGTAGTACCGAATTACGTCACCGCGAGCGCAAGCGGCTGTGCATTTGAAAATGGCTCGAAAATTTCCTCATACCGAAGTTAGACGAAGATGACCAAAAAGGACGCGTTCACTTCCAGCAAGACGGCGCACCACCTCACTACCTCACAGAAGTCCGGGATTTCCTCAATAACCATTTCCCAGGTCGGTGGATTGGTCGAACAGAGTCGATAGCATGGCCACCTCGTTCTCCAGATTTGACACCTCTCGATTTTTTCTTATGGGGTTTCATTAAAGATCGTGTGTATGTTCCACCCTTACCTGCCAATCTCACTGAGCTCAAAGCTCGAATCACCGCCGCAGTTGCAGAAGTGACACCGAATATGCTGGATCGTGTTTGGCAAGAAATTGATTTCAGGTGGGATGTCTGCAGTATCACCAATGACAATCACATCGAATCAAAATGACTGTTTGAGGTAAAACTTGATTTATTTTGCTACAAAATGACACCTCAACCGATTCTGTAAGCCTTCTGAATAGATTTCTATACACTTTCAAAGTTGTAAAGTTCCTTTTTGAATCACCCTGTATAATAGACATTTACTATATGAATATGGAACTTATTTCCTTTATACTATGGGGTTGGTGATTGAGTTAAAATCTATTCTGGAAACTGTCTGCCTTCATCATCTGGGTAGATGTCATGAGTGATACAACTGCCAATTGTATTTATACCAATAGCTGCCCTTTGGAGCCCTGTGTCCTTGAAAGTCTCCAAAATGTCAGCAGTACAGCCTTACATCTGTATGGTGCCGTCTATCAGAACCAGGATCCACGTTAGCTGTGAATCACCATGAAAGTTTGAAAGCGTCTACAGTGTTCATAGTCATTTTAATATTTAATAATTTAATAATTTAATTTGGGCTTCAAATAAAATAACAGTCTTTGACCAAAATCTTCTTCAGGGTAATATTTAATAATAATTCATTTGCTAAGAGCACCACCACTGCCATACAATTACCTTGCGACAGTGAGCATGTTTACAGACGCTTAATTATTCACACACTCCGAGGACTCCGAGAGCGAGCAAGAGTGCGCCGCCAGAACCAACCAGACCACTAACTCTGCCCTTTTCAGGGCCCTTATCCACACAACCAAACTCACCTTTCTCTCTCTACTTTCTCTCCCTCTCCCACTCTCGCCCACGTGCTACCATTGGTCCACTCCCATACCTGCTCCCATTGGCTCGGGGCAGGCTACACCTTTCACCTCCCGGCCTATAAATCCAGCTCCTCACACCCTTTGGCATATTCATCGCCCTGATGACGGAGGCAGTATGACCTCTGAAACGTTGGTTAACATCGACCAGACTACACAGCGCAATAACCCAGAAGACGGATATCTTTAATTGTTGATTTGTTTACAGTGTCTGCAGTCATGTCCAGAGGGAAAGTTTGGTGCCAACTGTTCTTACAACTGTACCTGCATGAATGGAGCAACATGTGACCCAGTGAATGGGACATGTGCGTGCACACAGGGCTGGAAGGGACGTAATTGTTCCACACGAGCCTGTCCCGATGGACTCTTTGGGCCGCAGTGCCTGTCAGTGTGTCAGTGCAATGTTGATAATACAGACATGTGAGTTCTGATTTGTTGCAGTTTAATTTTTTATTTGCATTTGAAAAGTCAGGGACGGAACCAATAATCTGTCCTGTAGTGCCACTGGACTCATATTATGATGTAAGAACGTTCCCTGGGGATTGTCTCTGGTTGAGATTTGCGCCTGCAACATTTTGGAGTCTGAGTAGGTATTTAATTTCCTCGTTTCTTACCTGAAGCTGTAGACAGAGCCAGTCTCTAAAATGGTTAGACGTAATATCAGCTATAGGCAATAGACAACTTACTTTATGGTTCGAATTATGGGGATTCATAAGAACTCAGATATATGTTGTGTGGTGTCTCTTGCCTTAAAATAAGAGATATCTCTTTTAAGAGCTTGACAGTGTGAATGCTGCTTTGGGTTGCAGGTGCCATCCATGGACTGGAGAGTGCGACTGCAAATCTGGGTGGGATGGAAAGATGTGCTCTCGCCCCTGCCCGTTCTACACGTATGGAAAGGGCTGCCATAACACCTGCAATTGTAAGAATGATGCACAGTGTTCACCTGTCAATGGGACTTGCATCTGTGCAGCAGGTATGTAATTGGCAGACTTATATGCTGAAGTTGTGTAAAAGAAAGTGAAAACTAGAGCTATCCCACTATGCACCATGTAGACACTCGGGGTGAGAGGCGGTCTCGCTCCAACTCATTCTTGACCTCAGCACTAGGTGGGGGTGAGTGGTTAGCATCACACCCTGGCCACACTTTACCCCTGGGGGAAAGGGCCCCAAGTACCCATTGGGCAGGAGGCTGGGTCAGCCCCAAAGCCAATCTGGATGCAGAGGTTAGAGGAGAATCTTCTGTCCCTGTCGGGGATCTAATCTTGATCATCCGACCAATCACTGTACTGACTGAGCTATGTGGCTCAGTAAAGTTGAATAGGAATATGATGCCTACTTTGATGGCGCTAATAATGTTGGAAATTTCGGTTCTGTACGTAGAAAGTGGATATGATAAAGTATTCCAGAAGTTGTATGTAAATGGTCACTTGATACATTTTCATTATTTTTCTTCGCCTCGCAGGTTATCGGGGTACGGACTGCAGTGAATTGTGTCCGAGTGGCACGTTTGGTGAAGACTGTGCTCAGAGATGTAATTGTAAGAATGGTGCCAAGTGCTCCAGTGAGAATGGACGCTGCAATTGCACGGCGGGTGAGCTCATGGTTGTGCCAACCTGTATTCAGATTATGCCTTTATGTGATTTAACTTTTACTGTAAAGAAATTTATTTATTTTCTAATATCTTGTAGCTCCTTAACTCAGATACATTTTATGGCAAGAGGTATGTTCTACTTTGGCAGCACAGTTCACATGTTGGTTTGTGGACTGGCGCTGGCTACATGTACTTTTAAAATTCTAGTGCATGAAGAAGTTGTCACTACATTGCTCTCCGGTATGTGGAGGAATGCCTTCATTCTGTGTCTGTCACCCCTCAAAGGGTTCGCAGTAATTTTTTTAAATACTGTGCTCCAGAGAGAGATGCATACGCAATGTCAGTCTGTTCATGAAGTCTCTTCTGAGACACTGTCTGTGCAGAAACTTGATCAGTTGATTGTGTTTCCTGAGCGACTGGATATCAGGAATAGCACTCACAAATTACAGAGCAATTCTCGGAGTGGGATACTCATTATACTGTACAGCAAATAGATAAGTATAAATCGTAGTTAGGACAGACCTCTGTCAGATTCGCGGCTGTTTCGACTGTAAAGTCATAGTCTAATCAGTGTTAGTGACATCTTCTAATTTATATGGATAATTAATACTGCCTGGCGGCAGAATCATGTGAAAGTAACTGAGCAAGCAAATAACACTTAGTAGAGGTTGGTGAGCGTTGTCTTGCACGTTAGGTGTCTTAACCCTTCAGCATGGAGTGCCATGCAATGCACTGCCACTAACTATCCAGTGCTGTGCAAGTGGGCAACAGCTTCTGCTTTGTGCTTCTATCTCACACAGTCTTTCAGCAATATGAATTCTACTTGCATAACCTTCAAGATGAATGTCAAAGTTTGGTATTTTTTTATTGATAGGATGTATTGATTTTGCATCGCGTAAACATTCATGGAAATTCATCAGTTCTAAATGGCATGGACTAGGAAGTGCTGCTTGCAGCAGATTAAATCTTCCTATGCAGAAGGGTTAACTGCAGTTTGTTGTTTCGTATATTAACGCTGATGCAACTCCCACCACACATTGTCATTTTTTGAGTAATGCACGATCTGGCACGTGTGGTTAGTATATTACTTTGCTGTCAGGTACACTCTAACGCACTTTGTGTCGTGAATATCCGTGTAACTGTTGCTTGGCAAAATTCTGGAGGATTCGCACCTCTTGGAGCTTGTTATGTCACAATTATACAAAAGTTAATAGCACATACAAATGTATTATTCTTTATTTAAATGTATTGCTTTTTGTAGTCCTGAGATGCAGGTTCTGCCTCGTTAAAGAGAATTTATTGCTTAACTGGGAGAAGAAAGATAGTGAAATGGGTGATTCAGCTTTCCACATTGCTCAAATGCTTTTTTTCATCCACTAACAGTTTCTTGCTTTTATTGAAATATTGGTACATATTGCACACAAAAGTAGAATTGTTCCTGTGAAATACCTCCACGTGACCTGAACAGAAATCTTCATTCTTCTGGACCAATATTGCACAAAAACTAATATTAAATTCAGTTCTAAATGGTTATTGAGAACTTTTCTGTATGAGTTCTTAAGTACTGTGCTTATATTGTAAGGATTTTCAGTCAGTCAACATGAGCAGTATTTGATTCAGCAGCCATTAAATTCCCATTCCACTACCAGTATCTTTCAAGTCTCCCATCATCTTGCCGACGATAGAGCATGCTGTTTTGATTCCCAATGAATGGGATTCTAATTTGTGCATGGCTAAAGCTCCATTGTGTGTTGATTCCCCACATATGACCTAGATTGGTGTTAAATTTCTCACTTTGTCTCAGTGGTCATCTGGCACAGGCTTATTATACATTGTACGTTAGAGCTTTTTTCTCATAATGACAATTTACCGTAGGCATCAAGATTAGTTGTGGCCATCTGACTATATCGTGAGGCTTTCTCTTTGAAATATCACAGTCTACCTGTTTCAGTATCTGCTTCCAGTTGCTCATGGTGTGAATTCTGCACAGAAATTTTGAAACTTATTTTATTTTATTTATTTAGTGTTCTGTCTGACGACAGGTAACATGATCTCTGCTGAATTTCTAGGCAGATGGACACAACATCCAATAGGCATTCTGCTAAAGCATAAATAACGTTTAAAAACTGAGAAAAAGAATTATCTAAAGAGGACAAACATTTTGCTCGTAATTTATTAACACTTCATTCAAGCCAAAGTCAGATCTTGCATGTATTACTCATCCCATGCAACCCTGCACCTCCATGCGACACATTTTTAGGTTGGTAGCATTTGTGGAACTTTACTTACAAGACATTTTGGTTTGTAGAATGAACTCTTCATGTTTTTCCCACCTTAGTTGTTATTTTTTCCTTTTTTATTTTGGCTTTTATTGTTCTTGATGTTTGTGAGGAGCACATGGGGGAATGTTGTCTCACAGGCTGGGAAGGGCAGCAGTGCGATCGACCTTGCAATGAGAAATTCTACGGCTGGGATTGCAACTCGCGATGCAGGTGTCTCAACAATGCAGCGTGCAACCCCCAAAATGGTGTGTGTTTATTTTCTTAACAATTTCTTTCTGCCTTGTTCAGGTGGTGGCACTTCTTTGCTCTCTGTAATTTACCATCACACCCAGCTTGGATGGTACCCTAGCTTTATACTTATGGAACCTGCTGACCCACTTAGCTTATCTCTGGTGGCCTCCATTAGCCAGATTAGGCCTGCTATATTGTTTGCAAAATTTGTACACTTCCCCTTCCACAGAATTTTTACTTCTAAATATTTTAGGAAATAAATTATAACATTTAGATTTACTTGTGAAATTGAAGTTAAAGAAATGTCAGTAAGTTGGTACCATGATTAATAGAACAGTTTTCATAAACCAGTTCATTTCAGTAGTTAACTGATAGATTGCAAAAGAAAACATAAGCATAATATGCTACATGGAAGTATCACTATACCATTAATTTTTTTTTTTTGTCTTTTCAACAGACATCTGCATGCTTGAAATGTGTCTTCCATTTTCAAAAAATTAAGAGTGCACAAATCATCAGAAGAAAATAAACATACAAATATCTTCAACACAAAATAGCAATGCATGAATTAATTAGTAGCATAAATTGTTGGAGTACATATGATAATTTTCACAATTTTGTTACCTACACAAATTGGTTTCCAAAAATTATTACTGGAGCTTAACTTCATATTTCTCTCTTTTTTTTTCTGAAGAAGAGAAATCCTGGTAAGATGATGTCTGTTTTTATTTAATCACTTAGCTAATTATATTTTAAACATACAGATATGTTGTCATAGCTCTAGCAGGAGTTTCATTTCAGTGAAATTAAATTATTAGAAAACATTTTTTATAAATACCTGAAAATCATTGTGTTAAATATAATTTAAATATAGACTATGAATGGCAACATTTCAGAGAATCTTCTGTATATAATAAACATAATTTCATGAATTTACTGGGTAAAAAAATCTTCATAAAAATTACCCTTATACTATGAAGACTAGTTTCAGTGTCAGTAAAAGAATCCACCATTTTGAATTGGTGTCTAGCAATAGCAGCAAAAGTGTGATTGGTTATTGGTTTATTTTATAATGCTACTTTATTTGCCTAGGTTACGTAACTTCAGTTTGAATAGATGTGAAAGGTAGCATTTGTGGCCTCTTTTAATATATTATCCCAACATGTGTCTGGAGGGTTGAGCAAAACCACAAAAACCTCTTTCAGGTTAACCAATCTCTGGGCCAAGATTTGAACTCAGGACCTTCAGGTATAAGTGATAACCAGTCAGCTGCATCATTTGATGGCAGAAATATTTGTGCCTCCTGTTGGTTTAATTTCTGAAAATTATTCTGCCCTGTAGCAGTTACAGTAATTGCTATATCTAAATACTTACGTGTTAAAATTGTGAAATTCTTTATATATAGGTATAGGTTATGGTAGAAATACCTGATGGTTTTCGAAATGACAGTACTTCTGGAGTGAGGTTAGATTTGAATTATATAAGCACAGGAGTTTGCTTTCAGTACATAACATGTTAATTCTTATTAGTTTTATTTCTTGAAAATACTGTCAGTCAGATGAGCTTTGTCAGGCTGAACATATTGCTGTAAATGTGGTAAAGCTCCTCTGCAACATCTCCACCTCTCATTGTTAGTTAATCTTTCTGTAGAATGTAAAACAACATGGTAGTCATGTAAAATCTATATTTATCTGTTTGATGGCAGTAACTGATGAATGAATGAATGGAATTTGGCATGTGAAATTTGCATGGTATTAAATTATAATCATACCTACCAGTTTTGTGTATAAGACATGGTTTATGTGTTCACAGTTAGAAATATGATGGCTGTGTGAAATTTTGAGGTTATGTTAGATAAACATAACATAGTCTGAATCTGTACTAGTGGAAACTATGTACAGAAATAAATCACTGACTACTATGATTATTAATTCATTGCTCTTGCTAGTCAGACCATATAGATAGAAGTATCAGAAGAACATAGGGGTCATAAGTTCCTCTCAAAACCTCTTGTCTGTTAGAAATAGGCAGGGTTTGAAACATTCCACAAAATTATTAATTTGTGGCAAACATTTTGGAGCAGAGTCTAGGCAGTTTGTTTTGCAGTTGAGTGGTAGAGTAAAACCTTTTTTGTCATTGGCATCAGGCAGGAGAGTTTTATCTTGTGCACCGGCATGAGCAGGAGTTACCAGGTTCTTGAAAGTAAAAACAAAAATTAAGATGTTGGCTTGGACAACAGAATCATGAGACTTATTTTCCTCAGAGATGTGATTTTGTGCTGCCATACTAACAACTGTGCTCTGCTTCAAGGGACATGCACCTGTGCCCCGGGCTACATGGGTGAGTTGTGTGAGCGGAAGTGTGAGTCTGGATGGTTTGGACTGGAGTGCAGCCTCGTGTGCAACTGTCATGATGACAATAGCATCGGCTGTGACCCCGTGACCGGGGCATGTCTGTGTAAGCCTGAGTGGGGTGGGGTACAGTGTGAGACGCGCTGTCCGCCAGGGCGCTACGGAAAAGATTGCGGCAGCGTGTGCGAGTGCCAGAACAACAGCTCGTGTGACCCAGTGACTGGACACTGTGCGTGTGCACGTGGTTGGGAGGGAGAAGACTGCAGCGCACCTTGCAAACAGGGTTATTATGGGCTCGGCTGCAAGGAGAAGTGCCCTGATATGATATATGGTGAGTGGGACATTTGGTACATGTGCTTATCCACTTACAATGTTCAGTTCCTTTCATATATGTCGATTTTGATAATCAGTTGTACTATGCGGTATCAGCTGTTGAGGTTGTGTAGCTTTGATTGATGGAATTAACTGAGTATCTGCTATTCAGCTACATTTCATTTAAATGCAGAAAGTATGCAAACTAATTTAAGTTATTGTGGTGGGGAAGGAACGAATTTATGTGTTGAGTGGGAAATGATCAGTGCTTTCTCTGCCATGTTGTGTTTGCTTGTACAGTGTATGCTGTAATTTTTCTTTGAATGCGTTATGTAATACGTAGTTTTAGCCTATCCTGACACATTTTCACATTAAAAAACGAAATCCAGACCTACCGTACTGTTTGATGAAATGCTAGATTCCAGTCTTCCAACAGACTCTCTAATAGTGTTATAGATTGTGCTCCACATCATTCTATGCAAGTGAACAAACCTCCAAATTTGGCATAAGGAATTAGCAGTTCAGGAGTTACTTGAGAGAAATAATATAAATTATAAGGAGAAAATTATAAAAAAACTGGACTGTTATAGATCCCATCCCTCAAGAGCACAGTGGTCAAACCATGAGGCTACTTCCATATTACTTTGATCTAAATGTAGTGTAATGTATTTCCTTCGTTCTAAGATGCATCCTCGACTTCATAACAGGTTTGCAGGAAAAAGATACTATATTGATTATTAGACACCATCAAATGTGAGATGCGCCCCAGTTTCATAAATTATTGAATGTGAAAAAAGTGTATCATAAAATTGAGGAAATACAGTTTTTTTAATATTGTTAAAACCAAAGTACTTTCTGAAAATGTTGATAAGAGTGCAGCTTATATTCAAACACTCTTGACAAAATTTATCAAAAATATAAATATGGGAGATTAGAAAATCCAATTCATAGGAGGCTCAGGAGTTTGATCCAATGCCAGGAAGTTGGATTATGTTATAAGAATGGTGTGCGAGTAGCATAAATGTAAATAGTACTGAAATTTCCATGGACGTTCTCATGCAGTTCAGTATTAAAATGATTCATGTGTGTGGATTTATTTATAAGTTATAATGTTTGTTGTTTTAAAATGCAGTTTTTCTTTAAGAAATGTCTGAAAGCACGAACTAATTGGGCTGATTAATACCTGAGTGTTAAAGCATTATCCTAGCTTTTACTTTTTACTAGAAAGGAAACCAATTAAACTAATTCATGTGGTCATGTGATGAAGATCAGGTAATTGCGTAGAGCCAGCATGCTTTGGTCTGTTGTGTTTTCGTGTGTTGTTTATTGCATGATAATTATAGTTTGATTAATTAAGTGGTGAGTGTTGTGAGAGAGAGTTCCAAGGATGAGGCATTTACTCTACCAGCAATACAGACTTATTCCATTGTTCTCATCAGTTATTTTTTGTAGTGAAAGTTCTCAATTCTGTGTCTACAGATGTTTCTGTGCTAAATGTATTGAGGTACACTGAATCTCTTTGAATTGTTTTCCACATGTAATTGTTTTAAATACCTGTTTCATTGTGAAGGGAACCGGACGTGTGACCACGTTACTGGTGAGTATGTGTGTCGGGCGGGCTACATTGGTCTCACTTGTGAACATCCATGTCCTCTTGGAACATACGGACCAAATTGTCTTGATAAGTGCACCTGCAAGAATGGTGCTGACTGCCACCATGTGACAGGTCAGTGTGGGTCTGGTTATATTGGATGTTGTATGTGTATATGCACTGTCCCGGTCATGTTTTTGTTCTGTCAAATTAACTATATCCGGTCTGGTTAGGACTTTTCAGTTACTGTGATTTGCTATGCCTGTATCAAAATTTGTTACAGTCTTAAGTGACAGACACCTTCACTTATCAGAGGTGATCAACATTTGTCATCATCGCCAGGGTTAAGTCTTGTTGACCTGTGTTAACTAATTCTGTGGCATAGCACAGGACTTTATGCTTAATTAGGTAATTGTGAAATTACCGGTTAATGAAACTGAACTTTCATAACTACTGTCACAGTACAGGTAGCCCTCGATTTGCGCCGCTTTTGAAACAAGAAAGTCAAAAAGTGAAAAAAAAATATTTTACTATTATTTATAATGTCTTACAATGTATCTCATACTGATTCTTATACTAAATCGTAATTCTTACATCGCTCATTTTGAATAAAAATTATAAATACAGTCATCTCTGCAATTACGTATGTTTCGTTAATGCAAATTTGCTCCAATGAGATCGATGAATCAGTAAAAGGTGTTTCTGAAATGCAAACTTTTGAATATGCAAGTTTGCTCTTATGCAGTTTCATTCCTGGCACTTTAAACTTTCAAAGGACTAATTTAATCTCTGCGGAGGTACCGGGGTTATTTTTACTACGCGATTTTCTATAGGTCAACGTCTTACATGAATGCAACTATCGCATGACAGCAGAGATGACTGTACACACCAATCACGTGAAAGAATCGCAGTCAATCGCGGGGACCGACGAATTGCCGATTGTAAGTGTATAATTTTTTTTTTTTAAATTCCCTTTATTTTATTTATGTTCTTTCAGATCTTTAAATGTAATGTCATTATATTACTCGTGTTTGGGTGCTGGGAACGCATGTCATTGACTTCCCATTGATTTACATTATAAAAGTTTCAATTTACGCCGATTCCGTTTATGCTGGTTCGTCCAGGAACGCATCCCCAGCGTAAATCAAGGGGTACCTGTACACTGTCATTTGACCATAACCTGGTCCTGTTCAATCCAGCCCATAGCCTCACACCTACTTTAAGTAAAAATTTGTTGGCAAAAATTTTGA